ATGGTTTATTTATTCACTCCGTAATACCATCACGAGAGTTGGGATGGATGGGTCCGAGTATATGGTCGTGCTTGAAATAGAAAACACAAAAAAACTAACTGGCCCTGCTCTCGACTACGAGGAGGACAGGATGTACTGGACCTAAACAGAGGTAATGCAGAAATTTAGATTATTGTTGATTATAGCAGCTCTAAGAGATACAATCATTTATCGACTTGTTGAATTTTTTAGTTATCCGACGACTACGAGTTAAACTTTACATTCTACCACTCCGATCTGGACGGCTCGGACATCAAGAAAGTGCCAGTCACTCTACCAGAGAGCTTTGCCTACTCTAAATCGTTGGTCGTCCAGGGGAAGTTCCTCTACATTCTCAGTTTGGAATACATCGTCAGAGTGGATAAGAAGACTGGTGCTGAAATGATCTATTTTGCGAGATCCTCACTTTTCTTTAACAACATTTTAAACATCTTCAGTCGTGATTTTCAAGCTAACGAAGGCGGCGGTCGCAGGCCATGCGCGAGTTTTGGCTGCGAAAAGCTTTGTCTTCTCGCTCCAAGTTCCAAGGGAATCGAAGGAGAATCGGAGGCCAAGTGCGCCTGTCCTTACGGCGAGAAGCTGAATGCCACGGATAATAAAAGCTGCATCAACAACAGTTTAGAGGAACCACCTCTTGTACCCTGCGACTCGGAGTACGAGTGCAACAGGACTGTTGCTGATGTTGATGCTTGAAATTTATTCCATAATTCGTGCTCTTTTATTGTATCATCCGTGTTAGTAAATAATTGTCTACTCAAACACAATGTATATTTACTCTGTAATCTAAATGTATTTATTATTCGTTGCACAATTGTACACGTAAGTTTTACATAAATGGATAAGTGAAATAAACGATTGTATGCACGATTTATCATACAGAAAACCTATAGTTTTACCAATAATCTTTCCACTGTACTATATATTGTGTAGTATAGTACACACGTTAACGCTCTGTCAACGAACTCGAGCGCACCGAATATTTTTTATTTTCGTTGCTTCGAACGGAAGAGCGTGTACTTAATAAAGAACAAAAAGAAAAGAAGAAGAGTCGACGATCCCAGAAAACCTGTCGAGCGGCTTCTCCCCCGTTCCCTCCTCACTTTTCCACCTCCTCCCTTCCTCTTTCATAACACGCGAGCAAAGATTCGCCAGAAGCAAAGTTCATTTCAGTTTACGCAACAGCAAAGACGAGAGGAACCGAAAAAAAAAAAAAAAAAAAAAAGAGGAAAATGCTGCCGATCGCCCTACTCTGGCTGTCGATCGGCACACTACCGATCGCCGAACCAACCGTCATAACCCCGTGCAGCAACAGAGGTCAGTGTAAAAATCCACACTCGCACAAAAAACCACCAAACGCTTCTTAATTTTGCCGACAGTACTCCCGCAAAGCCACAACGACCAGTCCAAAAGTCCCCCCCACGTACTGCTAATCAAAGAAGACGAGGGTCTACTAACGATCTCAAGCCCCGACTACCGAGTGACGGGGGAGTTTGCCGATGGAGAGGACGCCCTCGACGTCGACTTCCACTTGGGCCTCAACCTGCTGGTCTGGAGCACGCGCTCCGGCCGCATATACACCACGGGGCTGGCGGAGTCGCGGCTGACGAGATGCGTGCCCCGGGCCAGGCTGTACCACAGCGAGGAGCGCTGGCTCCCGACGTCCATAGCCGTGGACTACGTGGCCGAGCGGCTGTACGTCCTGGACACGAGGAGCAACTCGGTCAGGCTGATGGATCTCGCGGGCAAGGGAACCTCGGTCCTGGGGGTGGGCGTGAGGGGCTTCAAGCCGGCCCAGGTTGACGTCGACGCGGCCGAGGGCTGGTTATTCCTGATGGACCACGGGGAGATCGGCCGCGAGAGGAGCGACCATGCGAGTATATACACCCCCCTCGCAAAACACACGCGCCTGCAAATAGCTGACGGACGCGTGTTTGCATGTATAGGTAGTAAGGATGAGGGTAGACGGTGGGGAGCCGAGGGTGATCGATCCACCGGCACTGGGCCGGGAGAGCATCATTGCCGGGATGGCCCTGGATCGGGTGAACAAGCGGATCGTCGTGTCGTCGGTGCTGCAGAGGAGGATCTTCGCCATGGACTACGAGGGCCGTGGCTCGAGGACACTGATGGCGCAGGACGGGGCCATCGGCATCAGCGTGACGAGGGACCATCTCTTCTGGATCAACGCCTTTGGCTGTGAGCTTCCATGTGTTTAGCTCACGTGTATCGTGGGTATAGCCGGGGGAGATTGAAACGTTTGTTTGTTTGTTCCAAGACCACAACAGGACGAGTGCGTACGTCGACGGCGGGGCCTACCGGTGCAGGTATTCGCCAGAGTTGGGCTGCGAGGCGAACTCGACGAGGCGCTTGGACGAAGGCGGTGTGGTGCTCGGCGTGCTGGCTGTGGAACCAGAGAGCCAGAGAGCACCGGTGGGCGAGCTGTGTGGTCGTTGTTCTGGGTTTTGCTATGGGTACCCGGGTGGTGGATCGTGCGGTTGCGGGGTGGGATGGAGGCTGGAGAATGGCACAGAGTGTCGGAGGGTTCGGGATTTTTTGGTCTTCGAGGATGCCGGGGTGCTCAGGGGTGCCTGTTTGGAGGGGAATGGGGCTGCCAACGGGTGTCAGACAATCGTGCCCTCGTTGTTGCCAGAGTTGAATTTCAAGGTGGCTGAGAGGACGGGCTTCGATTACGATCCGACCACGAGGTGAGCTTTTTTTTGTTTTTTTTTTTTTTTTGCGAATGTATACAAGTATACTTTTAGGAGATAAGTACTTGGGCACTAAGTCGTCGATTTTTTAACGCTTTGAGAGTACTTTTTTTTTTTTTTTTCGTTAATGAAGTAACAATACTTGCAATACAAATCGAGAAAAATTGATTTTCCGACCGATACGTTAGTTTTCCGAGTTGTAAGTAGTTATAAAAAAATTTTTTTTTCAAGTACAAATACTGCATTATACTTTCAGAAAAATTCTAAAAGTATCCGTTCCCAATTCTGCAGTCTATACACAAGAGAAAATTTCTATGTCTTGTCTCGATTTTTCTCGTTTTATTATGAATAAATTAAACTTCCACAGACGTAGTTGTAAACAATTTTGGAAACTAATAAACTTAAAAAAATACGGATTCATAACGTATTTATATATTTTTGCCATACACTTAAATCGATTTAAATGAATCGGTACAATTCGTTTTGCCGATGCACAGATACGCTGGATTACTTTACCATTTATTATGATCATAAAAAAAAAAAAAAAAAAAAAATTCAGAAAACTGTACTACGGTGGAAAGGACGCAATCTACCGGATGGACGTGGATACCGGCTCGAGAATCCAGCTGTTGTACCAGAAGGACGTGTTTTTCGGGCCCCTAGCTGTCGACCGGACGAGTAAAAATCTCTATTACACGGAGATCGAGCAGCGGAGCAACGTGTCGTTTTACATAATGAAGGTGATGTCGGTGCGCTCGGACTCTGACACCGATGCCAAACTCCTTGCACAGACCTCGAGCTCGATCCTGTGGGAGTTTGGTGGCGTTCACACGATTTTACCGTACACCGATCGTGGCTACGTGTTCGTTACGATTTTCGACAACACGAAACGACGCTACCAAATGCTGAGGATGCAGACTGACGCTAAAAACGCCACGGTACGTTATTGTTGCTGATTAAAGTTATATTTTTCAATTGATTAGTAATTTGGAAGAAAAAAAATTAAACGTTAATAATACAATGTATCTTATTACTCCGAGACTTGAGCACGATTTACTTTTAAATTTTTTTCCCCACAACTTGCAATGCACGATTTCAGCTAAAACAATTTCTTAACTGATAATGCGATACTCGACAAAAACTTTTGTGTCAAAAAATCGCGTGATGCATTTTTGGAGAATAGAAACATTATCAAACATGTGAGCATTTTTTTTCTCTTTCAAAAGAAGGTGATGCACGATTTACGGTCAAAATATATATTTTTTTT